CAAACAGGATAAGGAAATGAATAACACCACCACTAAGAGAAACATATTAATGCACAGTGTTTGAGAGTGATTAAAAAGATCACACAGCATTGATAGTTTCTTACGATCCTGAAATGTTGGCCTGTAACAATTCAAGAAACAGAAAGTAGGTGCCACCAGGCTTATTAAATAAGACAGACTTTGGAGACCAATCCCACAGCTGACCTGCCACCGTCCTCCGGTGCTCAGCCAGCGTGTACACCTCCTGCAGCGCCCTCCTCTGGTCCTCACTGAGTGGTGCCATCAGCAGCTGGTACCAGGCAGCATCCCGATTCTGCACAGCTGTTGGATTGGGGGGCAGGGAGAGGAGGAAAAGATAAGGGAACCCAGGGACGATTAGAGAATAATAATGACAATCAAATTACAATGAAATAATTGCAGGCAGTAAGAGACCAAGAGCCCAGTGCTATGACAAACACTCAGTGATGAAACTTATGCCAACCAAAGATTATTTCCAAGTACCCACTTAGGAGCCAACTACTACGTGGGGCTCAAAGGATGGCTGGGACACCGAAAATCTCTCTTTGCTTAAGTTTCCCACCTCCTTCGCCATCTCCTCTTCTTTCTAGGGTTTAGTAACTAGGAATGCTCCCTACAATCCAGATCTTGGGAAACACCTGCCCCCACTTGTCACCATTTCCTCCAGAATTCTCATATTACCTGCAGCTTCAGCATTGCTCTTACACCAAGAGCTCAAATTTGTACCTTTAGGCAAAACTTTTCCCTAAGCCTCCTGGACTTTTCCATTTGGACAGCTTGCCTCAAACTCAGCACAACCAAACCCAAATCTAACATTTTATCTCCTAAACTCTCTTTATCTCCCCATTTCCATCATAGTTCTATCAGTCTCCTAGTCAACCACTGTAAGTCCCTAATATCCTTAACCATGCCTTCTCCACATCCAATCCTCTGCGGCTTTCTTATAGTCTTTCTCCTCTATGTTTCTTTCCATCAAATACCATCCTCCCACTCCAGGGCCCTATTATCCTAAATTAATAAAGTAATCTCCTAATGCTTGGTTCCAGAGTCTAGCTCCCTTCGGTTCTCTTTGCACCTCGTTACATCTCCCCTGAAGGAAACTACCACATCCCTGAGGTCACTTCCTTACAGCAAAACATCCAACAACACTCCAGTGGGCAACGGGGTAAAGACCACCTCAGTCAGAATTCAAGGCCACTACATTTTGGTCGCCTTCTATTACTTCACAGAGATTTAAGCACGTGATTCTCTACGTGCTGATCCAAAGCTGGCTGCCTTTCTCTTGAGGAGCACTTTAAGATACATATCCTAAGATCCCACCTAAGACCTAAAAGCTTCCTTGCTGATTATGATGCATATCCATGTCTGGTAGCAACCGCCTTCAAGCATACCCTCCCTATTCCCATCTCCGCATTTATGCTCTTATTTTCCCCATGCTTTGGAATGTCATTCTCTGTACTCTAGTTCCTGCTAAATTGCAATAAAACATAGAAGTGGTTTTACCTTCAGTAATGGTACGTATAGCAACACTAAATCATGCCAATATATGATACTAGCATTGCCTTATTAATAACAATATTTTATACATAATATTCATTTTAATATTGCTTGTAATAGCAAAAAACCTGGAAACTCTTATGCCTATCAGTGGAAATAAATTATAGCACGACCATAGAAATATTACATAACTGCAAAGCAATCCATATAAGATTTTTTTCATTATAATTTCTTTATAATAGTTATACAAATATTTTCACTGGTTAATTATTTATTTTTAGTTTTATAAGTTTTCCATTTCCATCTTCCATCTTTATACTGAGTTACTGGTCTTACTCATTTGTAGGTCTTTGTTAACTGTAAATCTTAAGCCTATGATATGTATGTGGCAAATATTTTCTCCCAATCTTTTATGACTCCTTTAACTGTACAGTGTCTTTTACTGTACAAAATTGGTAAATTGCTTATGTAGTAAAAAGTTACTCTCTTATGGCAACTGTGAATTGCTAATAAGTTTATGGCCATAATTTTTAAGCAACATATGATTGAGATACTTCATTCTTTTTTGTAGAAATGCTTATCCATTGATACCTAGAGGATAAACAACTTATACAGATACTCTTGCCTGACATTATGTTTGTGGGGCTAACCAGCAGCCGCCCCTGCCACTTTACAATGAAGACGGTTGCTGCAACTGGGTGATGGGTGTGTCATTGTTATTCTCTCTCATTTTGTATATGTTTGGGGATTTCTAAATAAAAATAAAGCTTTTTAAAAGAATCTAAGCCAATTTGGGGCAGATCCCAAAACAACTTCTAATAGAAGAAAATGGAGAAAAAGGGTAGAAAAAAAAATCTGAAGATTTAGGGAGTAAAGACATACTTAGCAGTGCTTGCGTAAAAAACTGGTATTCATCCACACTATTGTCAAGGTCAAGTGGAGTGCTGAATCCCTCGAGGGCAGTTTCTTCCAATACTTCTTCATCCCAGTCATCATCATCTTCCTCCTCATCTTCGCCTCTACCATTATTAGACTGCATTGCCTGTGCAGTTACATTCACCTCCTCTTCATCACTTGAAATCTCCTCTGTGAATCCATTATTTAAAAGGAATCGAAACACATAAACACAAAACATAAAATTTCATAAAGAAAACAAAAATTATAAAATGACATTCTGGAAATGGAAAAACAAAATGTAATTTTACATAAAATTATAAAAATAAACCTTATCTTTAGTGTAGTTTGTTAACCTGAAAATGACTTTATGTTCCTCACTGAAAATAATTTCCAACTATGCTTAAACCTGTGGTCCAGCTGAACATTACTACTGTTTTGCTATGGCTGCCTCGTGTTCATTAATATAAAATGCTATTTAACCAGATACCCAATTAATTGTTTTGTCAAAAAAAAGATACAAGATGATTATACAGTCAGCTCGTGTGTTTTAAATAACAATGACCTCCCAGTGAGAATTCAGGTCTCTTAACTATCCACTGCTCAGATGTTCAGGTGAAGAGGTCATTTCTGCTAACAGAAACAGAAAAATATAGAGATGCAAAGGAAAAATCAAATAGCTACATGTGGGTTGAAAAGTTAAAAGGTGAATTATATATCGCCATGGATTCTGTTTCTATTTTCAGTGCCCGTCTGTTCTAAGCAGTAAGACCAGTATTATAAATAACCAGAAGACAGAAAAGACTTGGATTGAACTGCAAGGTAGTTTTAGAAATAAGACAAGAAACCATAGTTTTAACCACATACATTAATGGGTGTGTGTGTATGTACATACACAAATATATACAGCAAAGTTATAATTACAAAGACAGCAAGAAATACCTTTGCTAGTTAATCATTCTATACTTTAATAAGAAATTCAACGAGAAAGTCTGGGATACTACTAGAAAAATTCCCCTCAAGTCACATTAATTATAAGCCAATAAAAAGTGAGCAACACAAGAAATTAGAAAGAGAAGAGCATAACATACTGAAGAATTCTATAATTATTGGCATGTACTTAGCAAAAACAAAAAAAGAAAAAAGAAGCTTCTAGTAAAGAAATATTACTACAAAAAAATAGAGTTGCATGTTTTCCAGAAAAAGTTCTGATTTTTTCCAATTAAAGAAATGTCTGTTTTTGGGCAGGCCGAGTGGCTCATTGGTTAAGAGTTGGCTTGGGATGCCAACTCTGAGCAGCAGGGCCCTGTTTGGATCCCACATGAGGATCAGTGACACTGCGCCCTCTACAGCTCAGATGGTGAACAACAGCTCGACCTGGAGCTGGGCTGGCAGCGGGTGTGCGCTTTCGTGAGCTGCAGTGAGCCAACGTGAGCAGCCATCCAATGGCCGGCGAGCAACTGCCTGAGCCGGGACGAGCACAATGATAATACCAACATGGGCCAGTGAAGCGACATCCTTCNAACTTATCAGGTTATAAATGAAATTGATACTCATAATTTGCTGACTCTGAAAGAAATACTACCCTTTCAGGGCTGAAAAATATGATGGAAGAGGGAATAAGACACTTCTTAGGAAAGCCACAAAACAGCTTATGAGAAACCAGAGCCAGTGCATCTTTTCTGACCCTGGAAGGAAGTCCCCAGCAGCAGGCTGAGCAAGGGAAGCAGGGATGTTTTTGAAACCAGAGTGACTTGTAGCTAACAGCCTAACAGTAAATTCACATAGTAAAATGCAGAATAAGTCAATGCAGAGCCAAGGTTTACATCATATCTAGAAATGTTTTATGCTTTTAAAAAAAACTGCAATGCACTCCAAAAAAATGTTTTCAGATAATTCATGTACAACAGAAGGCACTGTTATCCGCATAAATCCATTGATTCTGCATGGCAAAAACCTGAGACGTGCAATTCAGTCCTCTACAGATCACCTTGGTCATTCATCCTTTGGAGCATATGATTTGTCCTTTTCAGTCCAATGGTTTTGTTTTCCTTTAAATTCATACATACAGTAGCTGCTTAAAATACATATTTCAGGGTGAGAAAGGTCAAAGCGGAAGGGGGGAGTGGGTAAAAGTACTGCCCAATGCCAGACGGTGACTGGCACAGCAGGAGGGCGCCAAAGCAGCCCCCTCCTCTCCTCCCTTTGACCCTCCACATCTCCTGGTGAAGTAAAATGTCACGGTGACGCTTGGTCACTTGGTGTTCCTTCTTTCAGTTGTTGCTGGGCATCGTCCCAAAGTTAAATGCAGAGAGGACTCCTTTGTTTTCAAAGGTGAAGCCTCCCTGTTGTTCGATCTTCTTCTTTGCCTCTAGCATTTATTGAGAGAAAGGGGAAAAAAGAAGAATATTTAAGGTGACAAAGCTAGAAAGAACCGCAAAGGAGCCAGGTTCTCTACACTCAGCACTGTGAAGGCGTGTGACTCGTGGTCC